TACGGTCATTGACACTACAGTTATCTAGCTTTCCACGAAGTCTGTGGCAATTTTGCGATAAATTGGAAGTTTGACAGGGGAGTCCCAAGTTGAACTCTTTTTAACCTTTTAAGGCCAGTATTCCTATTCTCAATGAGATGCGTATAGCTTTAAACATCTCCCTCACCATATGCACGCAGCGATAGAAGTGTAATATTTATTTGTAAGCCTGATAGTCAACAAACAAAACATGCTCCTTTGTAATAATAATAATAATAATGATGATAATAATAATAGTAATAAACATTAGAAAATAATACATGGGCGCGTGTAGATATGGAATTTCTCTTCGAGTGTTTAACTCGATAGCTCACGAGTAAGCGCAGCGAACGAGTGATTTGTTGAGTTGAACACGAGCATCCATGCAAGCGTCCATGTATAATAATAATAATAATTATGATAATGATGATAATGATAATAGTAGTAAACAATAGAAAATAATACATGTGCGCGTGTAGGTATTGAATTTCTCTTCGAGTGTTTAACTCGATAGCTCACGAGTAAGTGCAGCGAACGAGTGATTTGTCGAGCTGAACATGGGCATCCATGCAAGCATCCATGTGGGATATTGTTTTTATTATTATATACACACAATCACAATACCCCTTTACCGACAAGACAACTCAACTTTATTAGTGAATTAAAACAGAAGGTCGACAATCCCCGTATAAAAATCGTAAAGTACGTTGGAGCTAGGACTCAAGATGAAAAAATGCGTTGAAACACTGCAAAAACAAATGGGCGTAATTTTAAATATATAAAAAATTCTCAGTTATTGACTTGGTCCTTACCAACAGAAGAAATCTTTCAGGTACACGGCCAAAATCGACCTGTGGCAAATCGTCCAGCTGTCGATTTTCGTTCTCAGCCGCGAGAAAGGCCATTACCAAAGCCACTGAATACATAACTTTCGGTTTATCTTTCCGTCTTTTGTTATCTTCCCTCTCTAGGAAAGTTTGAATGTCACTGTCTGTAAGCGGTGCGGATTTTTGAAGTGTTTTAGAAGCCATAATCTGAAAAAATTCCGATAAACCTCCTTGGATTGAGGACGTTGAAGGCTTCGCCGTTCGTTCATCAACTTGACCGAGAGATGCGAAAGGTGAGTGATGTGTCAGCAGCTGATTGTCGATATCAAACACAGGTGAAATAAAAACGATATTTTTTCACGTATGTTGTTCCGGCTTTTCTCAGGGCTGGAAATCCTTGTATAACACCGTAGTTCATATGATAAACTTTATCTATACGCGAGAACTCTGATGAACTGGGAAAGCTCGTTACGAAAATGAACGTTTACACCATCGTATTCATATCGTATTGATATTAGTATAAATAGTATTAATGCTTCTCCTCAGTTTTTCTGTAAGTCGAGGTATCTCTAAGACAATAGTGTGCTTGATTTGATTTGGATCGATCTCTTGCCTTTTCCAAAATCCTTGTAAGAGTCGAAAAAGCTTTTCTCGCCCTTTGGGGTAGTTCCGTCGAATCTTCGATGTGATCGTTTAAATTGCGAAAATGATGCGTTTGAAATGAAAAAAGAAATCCTGGAGGACTAAATATCGTAGGGAGAAAGCTAATTAGCTGCAGCTTACTGATATTCTTCTTCAGAAATCTCAAAATCCTTTCCAAAGCGAATTTATTCCTTTAGGTTTTCGACTCACCTTTCTAGGATGTCGCTTTTTAACAATTATTCGCAGGCAGGTGAATTATTTTTTGGATATAATTGCCTAGGTGCTTTCTGATTGTGTTATAAATATCCGTTTGATGCTAAAAGCATTCTGTTTCAATTCAGTATTTTGATTAATCGTATAAAGAGGCAGTTTTCACGAGAATTGAGAGGTTTATTTTAGTTCAATCAGCAAATACTTCATATCTTTCTATTGAGTGGTGGGATCTCCAAACTTATTAGCATCTTTTGTGCTCTTCGGAAATACATTTTGTTTATCACGATCATCAGTTCCTCATCAACACTGACTAAACAAGAGGCAGCTATATTAAATTATAAAAATTTAGCGCTTTTGTCATGATCACCTAGTCATAATCACCTCGCGCGAGGTGATTATGGCGAGATATGAAGCAATCTTCGACAAATCAGAGCGCGTGCATCTGTATATTCACCAGAACAATTATACTAATAATAGATAGAACACTCTCGTTTAACCCTTTAACGCCCATGAGTGACCTCACAGTGTCAATGCAATATCAAGCAGACAAATGAGGAGAATAAAAAAGAAAACTCAATTAGGGGACTACAAGCTGATCCAATACCAAATTCTCTAAACAAACATCATAAGAATCGTGTGGCAGATAGTAGGAGAATTACTGATGAGATCTCGGGAGTGAAAGGGTAAGTAACATATCTTGAGCCTTCTCCCTCCTCATTTTCACCGTGTCCTCTTTTTCTTGTCTCACTTTCTATTCTGAATTCCACTAATCTGCCCTCTTTGAATGACGTGTTAGATTCACAAGCCTTCTGCTTAGAAGTTTCTTTTATCAGCATTTCTAAGGGTTGTTCGGTAGCTGATGGTTTTCCCTCGTAAAACTTCTTCTCTTTGTAAGTTTTAGCGGCCTCCTTCGCTTCCTTGACCAATTGTGCATTTCCAATAGCCTCTTGATCAAAGGATTTTTTTTTTGCGACAGTGGTACAGGTAAAGTTTTTTTCAACAGTTGGATATTCCACCTCCTTTAAAATTTTTTCCAGCCCGACTGAATCTTTCAGCTTTTTCTATGATTCCTATAAATCTCTTTCTCTGGGATGTACACAGCGCTTTCTCGTATTTTTCTCTTTGTTTCATTAGGCAAAGGTGCGGTCCAAAGTATGCAGTCTGCTGGCAGACCACCCTTTTCAACTTTATTTATACTTATTGTTATTGAGATACGCTTTAATGACGGTATCGAAAAACCGTTTTATAATATTACGGTAAATGTCCTTCACACCATTGTTAATAACATTATGGCCTCGTAAGGGATTTGGTGACGACATGTGCTTGTTTGTCTTCCTCAGTATCTACGCCCTTGATTATTACTCAAAGTCTTCTTTCCGAACTTTAAAGCACTCTCTCTTCCGTATCTTCGCCATGGTAACGAGCTAACGGATAAAGTCGTCTCCTTGGAACACAGCAGCCAGTTTCTCAGATCAGGACTTTTGTATTATAACGGCGAGGAACGATTCCAATGAGAATCATGAAAGGACCATGAAATTAAAATTAGCTCAATTGCTCCTATGAAAAATTGCCTTTCGGGTACAAAGAAAATTCTTTGCTTACCAGAATTTGCGCTATTTTGCTGGGACTGACTGATGATTCCTCAAATCTAGGTGGGTGTCCATCGAGTCCCAGCGAAAAAAAAATTGCATCGCTGGAGGTCCTGAAGGAATTGAAATGCGACGGAGTGTTTCGACGGTGACACACAAAATGCAAAATAGCACAGCGGGACTTATGACGCAATCATCTTTTCGAAGAAAATTTCTTTTTTCAAGAATTTTGAGGCCATCAATGTTTTATAAAGAGTTGATTGTGTTTACGAAAAATTCTTCGCTGAGCTGAGAGATAAATTGTTAATGAGGGTACGGTCAAAAGAAGATTACAAATAGCTATGCACGCAAAGAATTAATTCACTGAAGAAAAAAAAAAAGATACAGGGATGATTCGAAAAATTATGTCATTGGTCAATTCCATGCTTGTGAAATTCGCTAACGTGAAATTAATTCTTTTCCCAAAAGCTTTGATATAGGTATTGACTCTGCAAGATACGTACGACATCATTAAAATTCTGAGATTGGCGTCTTTTCCTATTTTCTCGTTGGCGCTAAGAGTGAAATGTAGAGAAGCAGGAAGTTTTAACAAGGTCAAGGAATATCATCCACTGTGTACATTTTGTTCAATCAGTCAGCTCGCATTCTCAAGCAACAAGGGAATCTTTTCATGTTTGCATAACGTCACCTAAATTCTTGGGTTGGAGGAATTCTCCAAAATTACTTAAAACTACCTCAGCGAAGTCGTCCAGGTTAAGATTATTGAAGCAAACAAAGCCTTAAAGTTCTTTTGCCTTAATATATTTCTTTGACTTTTCTATGCGCGAAAACTTCGAGATGTTTCTCGCAAAATGCGTGACTTCACAGCAGTGTTTACATACTCACATCTAAACTCAAAAATCAATCAAAAAGAGCGCACGTGCACATTTCATGATATAAAATCTTAACTGGGAGACAAAGGACACGTGTTTCTTCAACTAGTAAGTGACGCTATACATTAAGACGGTATAAAACAGCAAATATCTTTAAGTAACGACAAACCAATGTTAACGCCCTGGAGGACTTTAAACTCTACCTTAATTTGCACTTAACTTTTCCTTTTTCACGGAAATAAAAACTTGTTTCTAAGAAACCCTTTGATTAGTCTATGAAAGTCGTTTCTTTCCTTTTTCCCAATTTGATCAGAATACTTATTGATTTTTCGTTATTCTTTATACGATTTTCCCGCTAAAAAACTCGTCAGAAACCATTCAAGGACTTCCTTAAGCTCCCAGAACAGTCTTTGCCTTTTTCTTTTCGAAGTAAATTCCTGTCTCTTGTCGAGGATATCACTCGTTCTAGCGCTCGAGACGATTACTGAACTCGCATTTTTCTAGAAAAAAAACTTTCAATTTTATTCATAAGTAACAGGGTTATTTAGTATCATCAGTAATAATCACAATCATAATCACCTCGCGCGAGGTGAAGCGATATGAAGCGATCTTCAACCAATCAGAGCGCACACATCTGTGTATATACCGGAATAATTATACTTATAATAAATAGAACACTTTCGTTTAAAAACATATCTTTGGTCTTCTCTCTCCTCATTTTCTTCTGGTCCTCTTTTTCTTTTATCACTTTCTTTTCTCGTTTCTACGACTCTGCTCCCTTTGAATGACGTGTTAGATTCGCAAAGCCATCTGCTTGGAAGTTTCTTTTGGCAGAATTTCTAAGGGTTCTTTGATAGCTGATGGTTTTCCTTATCAAACTTCATCTCTTTGTAATCTTCGGCGGCCTCCTTTGCTTCCTCGAACAATTTTGCATATTTTATATCTTCTATGGCTTCTTCTTGCGACAGTGGTACATATAAGATTTCTTCAACAGGTGAATGTTTCATCTCCTTTAAACGTTTTTTTATGCAATTTTCAGCAGCCTGTTTCGCTCCCTTGGCTACCTTCGCATCTTCATGATCTCGTAGGCTCTCGACAATCATTATGTCGTAACATAAATATCCTGCACTTTCAATCACTAGTGCCCTTTTCTCGGGATCCATCAATCTTGACTCCTCAATCCCTTTGCCTAGACATATTTTACATCTGGATTCAACGGGAGTTTTTGGCCAAACATCGTCTCAATGCTTTCACAATAATCCTGCTCGTCCCTCGATGCAGACGCCATTGGTTAAAAATTGAGGGCACTTCGAAAGGATTGAGCCTGAGGAAACAAGATTTTAAGATGGGTTTGTCGCAAAAAATGAGAAATTTTCTAGTAGCCTAGAGTTCATGAAATTGGTTCTTTTTTTTCCCCTTTCTTTTTAGTAATTTTACTGCAGTGTCATAGTTTGACTAAACGTGCTCGGCCACGTAATCATAATTAGTTTCAAAAGAGCAGGAGCAGGGGTGTATGAGGAAGAAGTTTGCAAGAGAAACATCCATCAGAACAGTAGCTATCGAACTTGACAGGAAAATACTACATCCACAACTCAGTTAGTGAGAGGTTTTAAAAATAAAAACTAGTGTGATCCGTGACCCACTTGATCGATAGAACCGTGTGATGAAATTGTTCAGCAAAAGTACGATTTCCGATCAAGACAAAGCTTAGAGCCACCCTTACATTGAATGGATTTCTTCGGAGAATCATCAACTACGAAGGACATTGGTGGAAATCGTCCATCCTTTTCCATTGTCATGCTTACACTAACTTGGCCCAACCGCATACACTTCTAAGTAGTTGTGATATTTGTTGTTTGTTTACCAAAAAACGTAAACGTTTATCAAACATTAAACTAAGATACATAAATATAAGGTACATAAATATCGAAAATCACTGGCGCCTTTTTTAGGATATCAAGCAACCGGGTTTTCCATGGACTCGCAAGGAGCTTTCATTTATTAAAGTTATTTCTTATTTTTTATGGAAAGAGATCGTCGCTTACAGTCATCTGACACCTAAACTGACCGGCTCAAGGGATCATATTGGCGAAATAGATAACATTTCTTCTGCGATTAAGCTGCCAAATTTAAGGCCAAAAAAGGTCACATAACTGCAATAATTGCGAAAGCTGCAGTCCTATAAGCAATCTCTGTTGCCTGTTTTAACAATCTGATCCGGGTTATTCAGAATATATTAAGTAACCTAGTTCTTCATTCGCTTACGTGTCATTGATCATTATTTTTCCCTTCATATTCTCTATTGACAGCTATTATGCTGTGCACCTTAGATATCGGCACACCACTGTAAAACGTTTTTAATGAGTTGGAACATTAAGCAGGAAGAAGTCTGTAGAAGCCCTTCTGTTACATTGATCTATTTATGACCGTTCATTGCAAATGATTGTATCTGAACCCCTCTGACACACGAAAAGCCCACTGTCCCCAATGTATAACAAGCTGTATCGTGCCCTCGCCAGCTATTTTCATCAACATTTCATTCACTTGCTGTATCAAGTTTTCGAGCCTATAGACGTCACCTGGACCTCTTTCTCTTTCCCACCAAGCTTTAGCTTGCTCATCAACAAACACATCACTGTTAAAGTCGTCAGTAATGAAATGACGGAGCCCACCCATTTCATCATCAAGATCATCAGGCACTTTGTTTTCCTCTCTGAGTGAGAGGCAAATATCACGCATCAATATAGTGACTTTAAATAAGAGGATTTGTTTAGCCTGACCGAATCTTTCAGCGTTTCTATAATTCGTATAGGTCTCTCCCTCTGGGGTGTACACAATGCTTTGCTCAATTTTTCTCCTTGTTTCATGAGGCATAGGTGCGGTCCGAAGCACGCAGTCTGCAGGCAGACCACCCATTCTAACCTCATTTATGATATTCAGCTGTACAAGGTTTAAATAGTTATTGCTATCGAGATAAGTTGTACCGAAGCTATCGACAAAACGTTTTATAATGTCGCGGTATATGTCCTTCACACCATTGTTAATAACATGATGGCCTCGTCTGGGATTAGGTGACGACATTTGGCTGTTCATCTTCTTCAGTATTTACGCCCTTGATTGTCACTCAAGTCTTCCTTCCGAACTTTAAAGATGCCCTCTCTCTATCCTCTTCCGTATCTTCGCCTTGGTAACGAGATAGTAAATATAGTTGATGCGAGAAAGATGATAGAGAAAGATGTTTTTCGTCTTGTCACGAGCGTGGGACAAAGGAAAAATTCTGCGTCCCAATGAGGAATCGAAACTCAGACCTTCAGATTCCGCGCTCCGATACCCTACTACTGAGTCACAGAAACTCCACGGTGAGCGAGGTCTATTACCAATTTCATATGGCAGTATGCAGGACGCGTGTCATATCAACTTCGTAATAGATCTCGCTCACTGCGGAATCTCTGTGGCTCAGTGATAGAGCATCGGAGCGCGGCATCCGAAGGCCCGAGGTTCGATTCCTCATGGGGACTCAGAATTTTCTCCTTGTCTCACACAAGACAAAAAACATCTTTTTCGATTTCTTTACCGAGCTCAAACTTACCATCTCCATTATTTCTACAATCATTACGCTATCGACATTGTTGATCCTTGTTTCCGGAATGAATGGGCGTGAACAACATTGTTTTCTTAAGCGTTTGTCTTGTAGAATCACTTGTATAGATAATTCCTGTTATTTTGTTTTACTCTTGCAGTTTTTTTTTTCTTTACTTTTTATGTTTTGTTATCCTGAGAATTTTCTAGCCTTGGTCATGCAAAGGCTTTCTATGAGTTTGATTCGGGTGGGTTTAGTTTGAAAATATATAGCACCAGTGTTAATAAACATTTTGAGACAACCTCGATCGGGCTCTCTCAGTACACTGTAATTCATACATTCCACTAGGGCTGAAAATAGTTTCGCACATTTTAGTCAAAGTTAAGAAACTTACAACTGACGTCCTATATTTTACGTTTATATCCATTTTGAAGAGCTCTCAACTTTTGCTCTGTCAGGGTTTTTGTCAAGCTTTGTTAATTTGACAAAATGTGAGAAGGAAAGCTCCAAAAAAGCATCATAATATAATTCATTGGCACATTTGATCCCTCAACTTTATCTAACTTAGCTTCTCCGATGGAATGTGAGTTGGCTTCTACGATGGGAAATATAACCAGTCAGAAAAATAAAAGATCTCTTCTAAAGATCACTTGTGGGTATCACTACCTTAGAATGAAATAATCGTTGCGGTAACTATACAACGAGGGACACAAAACCAAGTTTCCATTGAAGTTCTTCTCGGTGGTTGTTCGGGACTTTTCAATTTTTTCTCTTTTTGAGCGAGGGGACTTTTAAAATATTTTGAATATTTACCACTAATCATCTAATTTGTTTCTAGAATACGTCGATATGCAAAACCTAAACTGGCGTGTAAAATTAAGTCGCTCTACTAATGTTTCAGCAGAGATGAGAAATTGAAGCAGATGAAAGATAAAATTACCATAAATTTATTGCGACCAAATTTATTCATTCATTTCACGCGTTCTATTTTATTAAATGCCATGCAAAGCGCACTTTTATTCGCTGGGAATAGTTCTTAAAGTGATCCACCGTTTTGAAAGCTTAGCAAAAATTTGTAAAATCCATAGACATCGTTTGCATGAATAGAATCTCCAGCTTTTCCTCTTTTCCTATTCTTTTTCATCAATTCGTCTAAAGCTGCGCATAATTTTTAAAAAAGATTCTCAGTTACTTCGGAACTTGCCAAGCATTTCACAGGTAGTTGTGTCAGTGACTCTGTGTGGTTGCCGGTCGTTTCTTTCCCATGATCATTTAATAGCTGGTCAGTTGATGCGTTTCGTACCCAGTTCGGTCGTTTCGTACCTAAACTAACGGAATATGTATTTATGTTAATTATGTATAAAGAAATGTTGGTTTCTTACTATGAGTAGCAATATTATCTGCGTTAAATAAGTTTTGTGAACATGGTGCCCATTTACGAGGCGCGAGCGATGAGGGCAAGTCCTGGAACAGAAATAAATACCAAAAGAAACGTAATAAATACCAAAAGAAACGTGCTCAGAGTCATACGTCTTGACCTAAAATTTCATATAACTAACTGCTATGAAAAGCTAATTACAAACTATTTACGAATGTATGAATAACTATTAGATAAAACTGAAAAGGCATCTGTTTACAAAACAGCGTTTATGACGTTCAGTTCTGACACGTGGCAAGATATAAGGGTATCCACTTTTCCTTGAGCTCTAGCTAACATCCTGCAATTCCACGGCAATTCGTAATAATTACTGACCCTCATAAAATCCTATTGTTCTCTCTCAGCATTATATCGGCGATTTCAGCCTGAGAAAATATTCATACTCAGTCAAGTCCAACTGTCTGAGGAAAACGGTGGCGGTCCTTTTTGGTAGCAGGGAAATTATCAGGGGTAATCCTAAACGCGCTAAAACGTTCAATATTGCAGTGGGCTGGCTGCACTGCAATATTTTTAATAATGCAGCCTGCTTTACGTTTGCATGAAATTCAATCACACACCTGAAAGATGTGGAAAGTTACATAATCTTTACAAGGATTTAACAATGACTAAATTCCGGGAAATGAAAAGGGTTATGTAATTTGTATAACTACTAGACAATACGTGCTAATTGCATTGTTAGAGAGAGAAAATAGTAGGATTTTATGAGAGTCAATGATTATATCATCTTTGCAAGTAGTTAACAATGGCTGAATTGGGGAATGAAAAAGGATTATGCAATTTGTATTATTACTGGACAATGCTTGCCAGTTGCATTGTTGGTGTACCAAAACATCAATATGAAGGGGCGACTGAAATCGTCGATGTAATGCAGAGAGAGAACAATAGGATTTTATGAGGGTCAATAATTATAATAGTTAATTACTGAGGTTCGCAGCATTATTGGGTATAATGCTGCGAACCTCAGTAATTATCTATTAACGAACACCCTCGCCAGGAAGCGGACAAAAGTGCGCAACAGCTCTGGTCTCGCCTGAATTTCCTGACTAGACGAGTTGAAGAGGAAAATCCATCGAGCCGATTCAACGCCAATATAACGTACAGATCCTTGATTTACCTGAAATAAAAGCTAGTGGGTCAGCTTCCGA